TGGAGCGGCTATACCATACAGTCTATGGATAATACACACACGCACAAAGCGTCACACCACGTGAAAGTGAAACCAGAGCGGTGAGCTAATTTCCGGCAGCCGAAATTTCGGTGCATCTCTAATTATTGGCGACATTAGACATGGATATTACATAATAGATGCTTTTTAAAAAACATTTTAGCAATTTAAAAATATTAAAAAAGGATTTTTTTACACGGCACCCCTGCTCTCGACAGACGGCCCCCCGGTTGGGAAACACTGCTCTAGTACACTGGACGCGACAAAGCGACCGTTGAAAATCATTTGAAATTTGTGTCAATACGTCATGAATGGAACGCAGCAGCAGTTTTGCTTTGTTTCACAGAACTAATCGTTGCCTGGGTTGCGTACGTAGGTGTGGGGCGGAGCTATCAAAATAGGGGCGAGATCCTTTTGGGGTAGGGGTGTGTTTGTTTTGGTGATTTCAAATGTCAACATTGGCTACCAGAAATCACTTACCCCCTCTTTAAGTGAGTCAAAAAAAACTATCTTAAAGTGGAAGTGAAGCAGCCAGTCAAGTTAAATTTTTTTAGTAAACTGATTTCCACTTTAATAAAAAAAAATATATATATATAACAAACATGATTAATGTAACCATTTTAAAGAAAAAAGGATGTTTTGTTATAGCTTTTGGAGCAAGGATGCCGACCATCTTGCAGTACCACAGCTTGTGACGTCATGGGGTTGATTTGCTCCATTAGCCATCAGTTTCTTAAATAATGTAAACTTGACTGACTATTTCACTTCCACTTCCTCTTTAAGTTCAACTAATTGCTTTTAATATAAATTTAAACTATAGTACATTTTCATTTAATTACATTCAGTTCACACTTAAGTATATTCTCTCGCGTGTCTCTACGACAGACAGCAGAGGAGCAGATGTTTTTGCTCCTTGCGCTCAATTTAACGGATCCAAACACACACTCACGCCTGACTGACTGATCTCTGAGCTACTGTGCTCAGAGATTCCCTCACACCTGGGCCTTCTAATCAAAACTTTACCAGCAACATCGAGACGCAGGGCCCTGTTACATTCTGAAGTTAATGAAACACAAGCAGGAGAAATGAGATGAGGGAAGATCTGTATGTGTGTGTGTGTGTGTGTGTGTGTGTGTGTATGTGTATG